AATATAAAATTAGTAATGCTTACCTTTGGGGGGGGTACTGTCTTGAAAATCCAATGTGTATCTTATACTTAAAGTGCACCTAATTAGCTACATTTCAAGTGCTGACCAGTCAGTGGCTAGCAGCTACTGTGTTGGACAGGACACGTCTATAGCCTTTCTTACGCTTTCTGTCCAGCTGACCTGTTTGCACTGACACCAGATGTGTTGAAGTCTTCTACTACTACTGGGTTTCTGTTTCTCCTTGTATCTCCTGTAATCTCTCCTTTATATGATTTTTGTGTTATATAATGATTATAATGATTTCTGTGTTATTTAGTGCCTGGATAGTTTTAACTATTATATCTTCATTGGATTTAGCATTATAATTGTCATTCTTTGTCTTGCTTCAGTGCTTTTTGGCCTGAAGGTAACAAGATCATAACCCTTGCTTTCCCTTTCCTTCCATTTGCGAGGTAAATCTTTTCCAGCCCTGAATTTTTATACCTTTTCAGTGACTGTCTAATTGTACACAGCACAGACTTTCATTTTGCTTTTCAAGCCAATATGAAAATCTTACAACTCATATATTTGGTCCCAACACTGTTATTATTTTATAATTATGGTATTACAATGGTATTATTTCTATGCTCTGACAGGTCTTTTTTTTCTTCTGGTATTTAGAAAGCTTTGTATTCTTGTGCCTGTTATTTCTATTTTGCTTTGTTTTTAAAAGTCTGTTTTATCAGAATCTGTCTTGAAGTTGACATTGTTCTGGGTCAATTTTTTCAGCTAGCTGGTGTTTCTCAGCTATTCTTCAATGCCTTTTTAAACTACTCATTTGAGTCTATTCTTCCTTCAGCACCTTATAATTTTAGTCTTCATTTCTGATATGATTGTCATTTTCTTCTGTTCTCGCATTGAGTTCAATCAACCATTCTTTCTGTTTGTCTTTTTTTTCATTTCTGCTCTTCTTTAAAAAAAACCTTCCGATTCAAGGCTACTAAAACCTAGATAATAATTTTACTTCTTCTTTTCTTTTAGGTTTCTGCATTAAAATGTTCTACATCAAGCCAATTAAATACAAAGGTTCTATCAAGAAGGGAGAAAAACTCGGCACTGTGCTGCCCTTGCAGAAAGTTTACCCTGGAATACAATCCCACATACATATTGAAAACTGTGACTTGAGTGATCCTACTGTTTACCTATAGATGGAAGACAAGCCAATCTTTGAAAAAGACAGCCATCTTCTTAAAACCTAGGCACCTATCCTGCTTTTCAATAAATTTGTGGTCAAATAGAACATAATGAATGAAAGAAAGAAAAAAGCATTTTGATTTCAACTCACTGCCACTTTGATGTTTTGAGGGTCAGTTCATTTCTCAGGTCTGATCTGTAACCTATGGGATCAGGGGTCTGTTTTTTCTTAAAGATTCCTCAGTCCTAAATAAATAGGATAAACATACAATTTCAAACTGGTGCCAACAGCAATGTTGACATTTCTAAAACTAGCTTTCTGCTTGAAAATAAGAAAAAAACCTGAAGTGTTTTTAGGGCACAGGATTAGAGTGTTGTATAATGCTAGACACACAAAGATCATAAGTACCAAGGGAATAAACTCAAGGCTTCTTTTGAGTTGAGGCAGTGAAGAATTTCAGGAATACCCTCAGGTCTTGGTATTGGTATACCCAACCACTTTGGTCGTTGGAGGGTGAAGGGTTTACATGGATACGACAGAATTTGCCAGTCTTGATATCCACACATTCCCAACACTCTATATAAGCTGTCGATCTTCCAGGTAATGAATGATAGCAGTACAGGGGAATATGGAACATTGATTTCAGAAAGTCTACATTATAAGGAATACTAAAAAGAAAAAGAGATCTACCCTGACCTGAAGTATCTCACGCAACCAAGTCCGTCAGCCTCATCGAGCCATATGCCTGCAACAGCTACTTATTTTTACACATCATTGTATATCCTTATAATTCTTTCCTGGTTATGCTGACAACAGGTATAAGTGGGAAATAAGACCATATGACTATTCAAAGGACCAGAAATAATACGGCTCTGTAGATCTTAGTCAGTAAGAAATGAGTGAGGTGAATTCCTCCTTCTGGAAACTTTCTTCATGAATTTTTGCTTAAACTTTTTGGAATGTAGAAAACTCCAGTTGAATGACTCCATTACTAACTAGTGTAGCTATGCTATTGGAAATGTAGTCAACTGAACTTGTTTCCTAGAGAGAAGGGGCTGCACTGGTGTACTAGCACCTATGTACAAGAATGTTCATGATATTACTACCTGTCATAGCAAAACCCAGAACAACTCAAATGCCTGTCAACAGTCAGATGGACAAACTGTGGTTTCATTACAGAATGGAATATTATACAGCAATCGTAATAAACGAACCTCAGCTAAACATAACAAAATAGATGAATCATTAAAAAAGCTCAAAAGAACATATAGCATGATACTATTTTATAAAGCAAAAACAGAATTTTTAGGAACACATGTATATATGATAAAAACATATAAAAAGGAAATCAAGCAAATAATAAACACTAGTTATCTCAGGACTGGATAGGGAAGGACCACACAGAAAAATTTAAGTTACTATCAATGCTGTAGTTTTATGGTTGGGAGGTGACTTCACGAGTATTTATCATTATGAATAAGATGTTACAGAGGCAATGGGACTCAGGTTGGTATCCAGGAAGACGACTCACTGATGGTTCTCAGGTAGTTTAGAGTCTACACAACACCATCAGTACTTTCTCATATCCTGTTAGATACTACTCTCTACTGTGTCATAACATCTTATACAAGGCTAGCAAATTAAGACTTTACGTTTTGGTTAAAAAGAAGAAAACTGTAACACTGGCACTGCCTGGTTTGATCATCTACCTTATTCATCTCCCTAGTGCCAAATAACTTTAGGCCATTCCCAAAGATTACATTTCTCTTCAAAAAACAAAGTCTGTGCTCCCATTGAGATCACAAAAAAGGAAATAGCATACAGATTTCAAAGGCAATTTTAAAAGGAGCTCTAAAATTTTTGAACAATGAAATATACACTTAGCCTTCTAAATAATCAACCTTCTGAAGTGACTGTTTTAGAAACCAGACTCACTACCCAGAACAGATGGCTTCTCCAAGGTAGAGTAAAATTGCTGCTTTCTGCCTAGCCTCCCACAGGCACTCTCATATCTGTTGAATGCAAATGCGAACTTCAGACTAAAGGACTTCTTTCCTCAGAATCACTAGAATATAGCGCCCTCTAGTGCACTGTATCAGAAGGTTGTTTTGTTTTCTTAATTTCCTTTTCCTTTAGGTTTGAGTGTTAAAATGTTCAGTCTAAAGTACTGCACAGGTTCAAATGACAGGGAGGTAACAGCACCGAGTAACTTAATTTTCATTATTGAAGGTGATTATAACACATACGTAAAATTTTGATGTCAGGTATTAGCTTAAATCGGAGAAGGCAATGGCAACCCACTCTAGTACTCTTGCCTGGAAAAATCCCATGGACAGAGGAGCCTGGTGGGCTGCCATCTATGGGGTCGCACAGAGTCAGACACAACTGAAGCGACTTAGCAGCAGCAGCATTAGCTTAAATGACTATAAAATCCATCTTTATTTAGAATATGTTTTTTTTTTTTTATTTTAAAACTTTTTTTTTTTAATTAATTAATTAATTTATTTTTTTTATCACAACCATAGTGTATCTTTTTTTTTTTTTTACATGAATATGTTTTTAGTTTTCTGAAAGTAAGTAATTTAATGAAAGAACAAGATAAGTGGTCAATTTAAGAAGCCAGAGCTGGACAGGAAGAGTTACTACATTCTTGTGATAACATTTATCACACTCAGAGCATATTAACAATAACATATGACTTTAAAAGCTGCCTAGAATATGTACAAATGTGCTCTGACTAGGGGGTGCACGGCAGTTTTAAGGAACTGAAAGAGGATGAGAACAGCAGGGCCAAGGGCACCTGGTGGGAGGAAACAAGGTCAAAGAAGCAGGGAGAAGCCAGAAGCCAGAAGCAGGGAGAAGCCAGAAGCCAGAACCTGGAGGGTCTTATGGGTCATTTTAAGGACACATATTCATCTTAAAGGCAATAAACCATAGCCATTGAAGAGTTTTGGTTGTGTTACTAATTAAACAACCACTTCTGCAAAGGATCTGGTATAGTTTCAGATACACAGTAAATACATCCAGTAAATGCTGACTCCCTCACAAACACCCTCTAAAAAATTTACTTTTTATCTCAGTAGTGTATTTAACCAGTTACAACCACAGGATCTTTATAAAATGAATTAGGGTTATTTAATGTTAATGTTAGAGAAGGAAATGGCAACCCACTCCAGTATTCTTGCCTGGAGAATCCCATGGACGGAGGAGCCTGGTGGCTACAGTTCATGGGGTCGCAAAGAGTTGGACATGACTGAGCGACTTCACTTTCTTAATGTTAATCTAATGCCCATTTTCTCCCAAGTTAGTACAACAAAGTAGAATTCAAAATCCACTAGAAATTACAAGTTATTTACTGAATCATAACATGATCTTATATACCGATAAAAAATAGAGTACAATTAAGCCAGCCTCTGTATCTCTTGTAAAGTGTATTAATACCAAGATGAAACAGAAACAATTAACAATATAAAATTGGAAGTGACATAATTTAAGGGATCCAAAGCTCAATATTACAAATTTATTTAGCAAGTCAAAATATGCCTTCAAGGAAGGCTGAGGAACTTAACTAGAAACCGACTGTTTCTATCAACTATCTAACCCACCATACAGTGTCTGTGCTCTAGTTATGATTTCTGTCTTTTCAAATCTCTCATAGTTTCTCAAATGTTTCTGCTATAATCCATTAAGACAGTTTGTAAATAATACAAGATTTCACCTAACACATTCCAGCAATGCATCTTAAAATTTACATTTGCATAGACAGAAAGAAGCTAATCTTACAGATTTTTTTTAAAAAGTTAATAATCTTTGGTTCAGTAGTCAATTACCAGAGAGGCATGACATCAGGAAACCATATTCTTCCCAGGTATTTGGAGACTTCAGTGTGAATTTCATCTAGGCTATAAACATCATCAGGTATCAAAACTTCCTCCATGATAGAGAGGTGGGTTAGCTTTCTCCCACACAGTCTCACAAACTCAATGAATGCACTGCAGCTAACTTCACATTCACGGAGGCCCAAGGCTGTTAAGTTTTTACAGTGTTCAGCAATACAAATAAGTTCATTATCAATGACCTGAAGACCATTAGCACATACAACTAACTCTATTAGTCGGGGACAGTTAAGACCTAGCCGTCCTAGAATCTCTTTGCTGACTGAATGACCAAAATAAAGATGAGTAACAGGGGTTTCTTCTCTGAAGAACGTCTCCATTTCCTCTTCATATAAAAAGAAGTACATAACAACATTCACTCCAGGAGAGTGTTTAGTAAGTGCATCCCAACTTTGTCTTTTAATAGAATGAAATTCAATTTGTCCAGGATTTTCACTCACAACATCTATTCGAAGATGCTCAAGGTTAACATGAGTCTCATTTGAAAGCGCCAGGAGAAGTTCATCACTTAGCATGTAATAATTCAATGCCAGTTCTCTAAGACCTTGACAATGATCAGCTACACAAAGGATTCCTGCAGGAAATGGGGGAAAAATCCTTAAACACAAAGAGTATGGATACTCACACTTTTGTGAATTTAAATTTGTATCAGTTATTTCCTAGAATAGACATCTAATGATTTCTGAGGAGATGGATGCTGATATATATAATTTGCATGCAAATCTGTATTTGTATGTGTGTGTGTGGGGGGGTATAAATAATTGTGTGCATATGTATACTTAGTCATGTCTGACTCTTTTGCAACCCCATGGTCTGTAGACCTCCAGGCACCTCTGTCCATGGAAATTCCCAGGCAAGAATTCTGGAGTGGATTGCCATTTCCTTCTCCAGGGGATCTTCCCCATCCAGGGATCAAACTCGAATCTCTTCTGTCTCCTGCACTTGCAGGCAGATTTTTTACCACTGCACCACCCTGAAAAACCCCATATATATAATTATACATACAATAAAAAATATATAAGTAAGTACTCTTAGGAAAAGCAATTTAAACTATATCTAGCTTACATCAATACACTGAGTTCTTTTGAAAGAAAGATTAATGAATTACATCTCATAAGCATATAGTGTTCAACAGGAAATTGTATTACTACTATTACTATAATAAAAACATCATATAAGCTTAAAAATATAACCTACCATCAGATGAAACATGAGGACAGCTACTCATTTTTAGGCGTCTTAGAGTATCACTATTATTGGCCACAAGAATGCTCAAAGAAGGATCATCCACTGGCGTGTCTTCAATTTTGATTGATGACAATGATTTTGAGTTAACAAAAAGAACTGTAAGTGCTGACACAAAATGAGACTACCATGGCAAGAAAAAAATATAAAAACATTATTTTAAAATCTACAGCTGCAATAATTTCATCAAAACTATTCATTAATATATCAACATATGCTTATAATAACATAATAAAAGTGATCAACATATTATTGCTTTTCACAGTGCCATTAGCCAGGAGAAATAGCAAAGTATAGTTTTATTACTTTTATCATTGCTAAATGGAATAGTGAGAAAGGAAGAAGTTTCAAAGATTTCAAAAACACATCTTCCAATTATTTTCAATCTTAAGGATTTATTTTTCAACATTAAAAGGATATAATCTTATGTATTTCCTAGAATAGAGGTTGGCAAGTTATGGTCCACTGGCCAAGTCCAGTCCACTTTATCGTATGGTTCATGAGTTAAGTATGAAAAGTGTTAGTCACTCATTCATGTCTGATTCTTTGCGACTCCACAGACTGTAGTCCACCAGGTTCCTCTGACCACAGAATTCTCCAGGCAAGACTACTGGAGTGGGTCGCCATTCCCTTCTCCAGGGTATCTTCCGGACCCAGGGATCGAACCCAGGTCTCCCGTGTTGCAGGTAGATTCTTTATCATCTAAGCCACTGCATGGTTTTTACATTTTCAAATAGTTCAAAGAAAAATTTTAAAGAGGAGTACTTTGTGGTATGTAACAATTAAGTGAAGCTCTTTCAGGGTCCATAATTAAAAGTCTGACTGCAGTGCAGGACTCATCTATGCACTGCTATGTCTGCCTTCACACTACAGTGCTAGAGGTGAGCAGAATGATACGACCCACAAAGCCTGAAATTTACTATCTGGACTGAGTCAACACCCTAGTCTAGAATAAATAAATTCTTATCTGTTTTATTCATTCCTGTATTTCTAGCACCTAAAATAGTATCTGGCACATAGCAAAAGTCAACATTTACTGTTGATGAATAAATGATGTCATATTCTTCAGAGACATTTTTTTTTCTAGCAAATTATCTAAACAAAGATACATTTTGAAAACTTTCTGTTTTGAAGATTGACAAACTAAAGTTTAGTTACAGTTTGACTTCATAATGGGTGGAATTCAGAACTTTTCAGATCCAGTATTTTTTGACACAGATAGAAAGTCTAGAAAACAAATCTATGCATTTTCCTTTTCAAAATCAACTTGGATTCTATCAAAGGCTCTATTGTCCCTATCAGAATGACCAAATTGGTTATACATCCTAATTCCTTTACAAAAAAACAATGGTTTATACTATTGTAAACTAGTTGCATGAATTCTCAAATGGTGGACAGCTAAACCTCTTTACTCAACTTTGATGTTGTTGTCCAGTCGTGCACAATTCTTTGTGACCCCATGGACTGCAGCACACCAGGCCTCCCTGTCCTTCACCATCTCCCAAAGTTTGCCCAAGTTTGTGTCCACTGCATCAGTGATGCCATTCAGCCATCTCATTCTCTGACACACTCTTCTCCTTCTACCCTCAATCTTTCCCAGCATCAGGGACTTCAATGAATCAGCTGTTCACATCAGCTCAGTTCAGTTGCTCAGTCATGTCCAACTCTTTCCAACCCCATGTGCTCCAGCACGCCAGGCTTCCCTGTCCATCATCAACTCCCAGAGCTTGCTCAAACTCATGTCTGTCCAGTCAGTGATGCCATCCAACCATATCACCCTCTGTCATCCCCTTCTCCTCCTGCCTTCAATCTTTCCCAGTATCAGGGTCTTTTCCAAGGAGTCACTTCTTTGCATCAGGTGGCCAAAATATTGGAGTTTCAGCTTCAGCATCAGTCCTTCCAATGAATATTCAGGACTGATTTCCCTTAGGATTGACTGGTTTTATCTCCTTGCAGTCCAAGGGACTCTCAAGTCTTCTCCAACACCACAGTTCAAGCGCATCAATTCTTTGGAAATCAGCTCTCTTTATAGTCCAACTCTCACACCCATACACGACTACTGGAAAAACCAGAGCTTTGACTAGAAGGACCTTTGTTGGCAAAGTAATGTCTCTGCTTTTTAATATGCTGTCTAGGTTGATCACAGATTTCCTTCCAAGGAGCAAGCGTCTTTTAATTTCATGGCTGCAGTCACCATCTGCAGTGATTTTAGAGTCCAAGAAAATAAACTCTTGTCACTGTTTCCATTGTTTTCCCATCTGTTTGGCATGAAGTGATGGGACCGGATGCCATGATCTTAATATTCTGAATGTTGAGTTTTAAGCCAGCTTTTTCACTCTCCTCTTTCACTTTCATCACAAGTCTCTTTAGTTCCTCTTCACTTTCTGCCATAAGGGTGGTATCATCTGTATATCTGAGGTTATTGATATTTCTCCCAGCAATCTTGTTCCAGCTTGCACTTCATCCAAGCTGGCATTTTGCATGATGTACTCTGCGTATAAGTTAAATAAGCAAGGTGACAATACACAGCCTTGACATACTCCTTTCCCAATCTGGAACCAGTCTGTGGTTCCATGTCCGGTTCTAACTGCTGCTTCTTGACCTGCAAACAGATTTCTCAGGAAGCAGGTAAGGTGGTCTAGTATTCTCATCTCTTGAAGAATTTTCCACAGTTTGTTGTGATCTATACAGTCAAAAGGCTTTGGTATAATCCATAAAGCAAAGTAGATGCTTTTCTGGAATTCTCTTGCTTTTTCTCCAAAATACTGGAGCTTCAGCTTCAGCATCAGTCCTTGCAATGGGTATTCATAGTTGATTTTCCTTAAGATTGACGGGTTTGATCTCCTTACTGTCCAAGGGACTTTTAGGAGTCTTCTCCAGCACCATAGTTTGAAGGCATCAATTCTTTGGCGCCCTGCCTTCTTCACGGTCCAGCTCTCACAACCATACATGACCACTGGGAAGACCACTATACAGACCTTTGTCAGCAGAGTGATGTCTCTGCTTTTCAACACACTGTCTAGGTTTGTCATAGTTTTCCTGCCAAAAAGCAAACATCTTCTGATTTCATAGCTGCAGTCACCATCCACAGTGATTTTAGAGCCCATGAAGAGGACATCTGACACTACTCCCACCTTTTCCCCTCCTCTTTGCCATGAAGTAATGGGGCTGGACGCCACGATCTTAGTTTTTTTAATATTTAGTTTTAAGCTGGCTCCTTCACTCTCCTCCTTCACCCTCATCAAGAGGCTCTTTAGTTCCTCTTTGCTTTCTTTCATTAGAGTGGTATCATCCTCATATCTAACGTTGTTGATGCTTCTCCCTTCTATCTTGATTCCAGCTTGTAACTCATCCAGACCGGTATTTCTCATGATATGCTCAGTGTATAGGTTAAACAAACAGGGTGACAGCAGACAACACTGTTGTACTCCTTTCTCAATCCTGAACCAGTCAGTTGTTCCATACAAGGTTCTAACTATTGCTTCTTGACCTGCATACAGGTTTCTCAGGAGACAGGTAAGATGGTGTGGTATTCCCATCTCTTTTAAGAGCTTTCCACAATTTATTATGATCCACACTGTCAAAGGCTTTGGAGTCGTCGATGAAACAGAGGTAGATGTTTTTCTGGAATTCCCTGGCTTTCTCTATGATCCACTGAATGTTGGCAATTTGATCTCTGGTTCCTCTTCCTTTTCTAAACCCAGGTTGGACATCTGGAAGTTCTTGGTTCTCAAAATGCTGAAGCCTAGCTTGCAAGATTTTAGCATGACCTTACTAGCATGGGAGATGAGTGCAATTATCTGATGTTCAGCACATTCTTTAGTACTACCCTTCTTGGGAACTGGGATGAGGATTGACCTTTTCCAGTCCTGTGGCCACTGCTGGGTCTTCCAGATTTGCTAACATATTGAATGTAACACCTTGGTGGCATCATTCTTTAGGGTTTTGAATAGTTCTACTAAACTTCATGGTGCCAAAAATTATTAGAGGGAAAGAAATAGTTCACTCTTTTTCCTTAAGAAATGTAAGGTTTATTTCACTTTTAATCAACTTCCAAAGGACTCTTTCAGTCCTGAAGGACACATTTAAGCATCAGAGTACATATTTCATTATAGTAACAATGTATTAGTGCTTTTTTAAAAAAGATTTTTTTAAAAAAATGCAGACCATTTTCAAAGCTTTTATTGAATTTATTACAATACTGCTTCTCTTTCTATGTTTTTGGTTTTTTGGCTGCGAGGCATATGGGATCTTAGCTCCCCGGGGAATCAGGGACTGAATCCACATCCCCTGCACTGGAAGGCAAAGTCTTAACCACTGAACTGCCAGGAAAGTCCCTAGGATAATACTTCTCAGGCAGATCAAAATTCTGTATCCATACATCACTTTCCCTCAGTCTGCAAATGAAAGAACTGAGGCGCAGAGACATCCACAACTTTGCCAGAAGCCACAGAGCTCATTTTGTGTGGCTGCGGGGCTTGGAATGAAGCCTCTGGCGACTGCCTCAGCTAACCCAGAAGCTGGCCCTGGAAGCTGATGTGCAGCAGAGAGATAGCCCAGAATCTAAGAATTTCAGGCTAATCTGCTTCCCTATCTCATAAACAAGGAAATAACTATTTACAAGTAGTAAGTTTTCATCTGATTACTTGAATCCCCAAGTGACCCATTTTTTTCAGCATACGTCTTAAAAAGATTAACAGGCTAAGCAGAAATGCATTCTAAAAGAGAGCCATGACCCAGTTAATGAGAAAGGAGATGCTGCTATTCCTCCATTCTCTTCTATAGGAAGGTTTCCCTTAGTCAGTTTTACTGATGACCAGAGTTCAGTGCTTATTACACATGAGGCACTATTCTAATCCTGGGTTTATTACGGTAAATAAGCAAGAGAATCCCTGCCCTCAAGGAGCTGATGTCTCCTGTTTGAGGAGGAGAAGAGTAAACATCTAATAAATAAGGTGATTTCAAGTCCTGATGAATGATGTAAAGAAATAAAACACTGTAGAGAGTAACTAGAGGGGTGTTGTTTTAGCAAAACGGGTCAAGGAGGGCCTCTCTGAGGACATGGCATTCAAGTCAAAGCCTGAATGAAGAGAAGTCAGTCATTAATTTCTGTGGCAGAGACTGCTGGCTGCTTCATAAGAACCATCATCCTTCCTTCTTTGGTAATCTGGTTCTAATTTTTAGCTGGGCATACTGCCACCCAGCTAAAAGACTTTCCTTGCTTCCCAGAGATGTGCTGTGGCCACAGACTAAGCTGCCCAGTAAGACAGACAGAAGCCCTATGTGGTACTCATGGCTGGTCTTGCACACCTTGAAAGGGAGAGGGCACACTCTTCTCCCCCCATTTATTCCCCCCAGTGGTCTAGAACAAGGACGTGATGGCTGGAGCACAGAAAGCCATCTTGGGAAATGAAAATGAAGTAAACACCGCGGAGAGAAAGGAAGTACCTAGGCGGAATGTGGGTTCCAAATGACTTCATACCAGCTAGGGACTGTGGCCCTATGGATTTCTTTAGTGTAACAGAAATAAACCTCACTCATGTTTCCAAGCCACTGTTATTTTGGAATTGCAAGGATGCCAACACTATCCTAATCAGTATAGTACATTTAGTTAAATATTACACTGTTCTACCTCCAATGGAGCAACTACAGAATTACAGGAAAGATATCCACTGTTGGCCCTACACATTCTACATTCAATGTAACTATGTAAACTGGCACTTGAAAATATAACACCTAGATTTTATATTAATGATATCTGCTGTGAAACAATTATTAAAATTACAAAATAGACCTGAAGAATGAAACCATGCATTAGATAACTCATTAAAAATATCTAATGTGTATCTAAGTGCTAGTCAACAAAAACCTGCTTTTAAGTAATTATTTGAATGCAAGTAAGGTTGTGATCTATTTTTAGGAAAAGAATTATGTTTGACTGAAAGCATGCTCAGTCGCTTAGTCATGTCTAATTCTGCAGTTCCAGGGACTGTAGCCCTCCAGGCTCCTCGGTCCATGGAATTTTTCAGGCAAGAATACTGGAGTGGGTTTCCATTTCTCTCCCCAGGGAATCTTCCCAACCCAGGGATCAAACTTGAATCTCTTATGTCTCCTGCATTGGCAGGGAGATTCTTTACCACTAGCACCACCTGGGAAGCCCTTTGTTTGTCTAGTTCAATAATATTTAAGAATTGTAGTTGATCTCACAAAAAAATCATCTTTACCTTTGACATACTCATAAAACTTGGCTTGGCTGTTGAAATTAAGCCCAAAGTCCGGATAGAACAATTTACCAGCTGAGAGAGTATATCACAGGCAGCTTCTGCTGACTCAGTACTACTATCAACCTACAAAGACAATTTAAAATCTTAATTTCATGAAAGTTACATTAGAAAGTTACTGGCAATATAATTATTCAATAGAATTCAATATGCAACTACAAAACTGTACTTATACCTTCAACCTATAAAATAAATGAGTATTTTTTTCTCTAATACACACTATCTTGGACAAAAAAGGAAAAGCAGAGATGATGACAAATGAACCTTCTAAGCACTTTATACTTTCGAATCTTGTAAGATCACCTGAATTTTAATAATGGCATCTACATGAAGGAAGCTGAAGTTTATTCAATTGTAGCTCAAGTACTACATCTAAATCTATGCAAGTAATAACAAAGAAACAGGAAACAGTTTGGGGTAAGAATTCTGAAAAATTCATTGACTGTTTCAATATAATGAGCTAACACAAATACTAACAAAACTTAATTCATTGCTTTTATATACTGCTTATTTTTCTTACCTTAAAGCTGACATACTGGAGATGGGCAGCATGCTTTTTAATGATCTGCTGAATGAGATCAGGATGAGTGGAGTTAAAATATGAAGTAGCTGACTGGTTCAGCTCAAACTCAAACTTTCTCCAAAGGTCAGGTATGTGGAAAACTTCATTCCATCTCCTACAGACAGAAGATGCCCGGGCTCGATCTATTAAAGGAAGATACTGAAACACGCGTAACACTACGTGGTGAGGCAAATTCCCCCAGTCCAGAAGAGCAGCACACATGTGAGTCTGGCTGAGAGAAGGACAGCACCCAAGTTTTGGCTGTTTCACTGCAGGTGAGGACTGGAGAACTTCATTCATGCAAGGTAAACGGCTCCTCTTCATTCTGTAAACAGTAAACAATGGTAAGTGGTAATTTCCCCCACATTCCCATTCCATATTTTGCTTTAATTGTATGGAATAACATCAGAAGATGAGAAGCAGTTTAAGACAATTTTGACAGGAATCTTTCTCTCATGCATTGATAGGCACTACTTAGCACCAGACATACAGAGATAAACTGGAGGGAAAAGTCAAAGTGAAGTCGCTCAGTCATGTTTGACTTGCTGCGACCCCACGGACTGTAGCCCACCAGGCTCCTCTGTCCATGGGAATCCCCAGGCAAGAGTACTGGATTGGATAGCCATTCCCCTCTCCAGGTAATCTTCCTGACCCAGGTTTCCCATCTGCCGGCAGATTCTTTACCCTCTGAGCCACCAGAGAAGCCCTCAATAGGAGGGAACTTGTTCTCAAAGAGCTAGGGTGAAACAGCAAAACACGCTGATGAATGCCATCACTGAAACTGCGGCCAGCTGATGGAAGTCTAAGGGAATGGCATGTTTCTGAGCTTGTATGTGGGAGGGGGTAGTTGGGGTAAGTTTCCAGGAAGAAAGGTCCAGGGAAGCAGTGCATGTGCCTGGTTCATTTCTAGTCAATTACTGTATTCTCACTCTCACACTGCGATTGTTCTGAGAACTCCAGGCAGGGGTGGGATTGTGGGGATCGTTGGGAGATAGAAAACATAATTAAAAGCATGAATCTGGGTGAGTCCCAACTCTACTATTTACCAACCATGTGATCCTGTCTGAGCAAATTAATACAAGCCTCAGCTTCCTCACCTGAAAAGCAGGGAGAACTACATTGCCAGTCTCATAATGTTGCTGAGAGGATTAAAGTAACTCAAGTGCCAGCCCATAGTAAGTGCTCAATAAATGTTGCAGTCATTGTTAAATCATCTAATGCATTTTCCTGAACAAATTTCATTATGTTGCTTAAGCTGGAACACAGTTCCAACAAAAAGCCAAATGACCTGTGACAGTTTTCAGATGACACATAGGACATGGGAGCTCTAGAGAAGCAGGATATGGCAGGGACAGAAGCCGTAGCAACATACTGGGTCCTCACCAGCTGATGTAAATATAGCAAAGGAATGAGCATTCTTTCCCAACAGAAAGAAAGGATGACTCCCCATCAGGTATTAGTCAGCTTGAGACAAAACTAAGTGCCAACAAAATTCAGGTCTAGATATACCCAAATATATAGGGCTATCTTGTACATATATTTTACATAAAAATTCAAAGTATTTTAAGTATACAATTTTAAATAGTGATGAAGGTAGTTCTGAATTTTATTTAACTTTGGTTGACTCTTTAACCCTCTTTTCATCCTTGAATGCTGGGAATGTATATGTGGAAGCTTTGGTATCATAACTGAAACATACCTTCAAATCTAATGAAATATTTATTTAATATGTAAATATCCCTATCTGGTGAGTCACTCTGTCTGATGGGAAACATTTCTTAACCACAACGTAGAGATGGATCCTAGAAACAGGAATGGCCTATAAAATCACTGAGCAAAATGAAAGGTCATCTTTAGGGTTTGGGAAAGGGAAGGGGGGCAGATAGGAAAAAATTGTATCTCAAGCACTAGGCAAAAGAGCCAGTGCACATCTTAATCTGACTAAACCAGTTTACGTGCATAACTGAGCAATACAATGTAGAATATGCACAACTGCTGACATCAATAATTCAAAGCATATACTATTTTAAAGGGTTAATTCCCTAAAACGAAATACAATGGCCCAAGGAAAGCGAAGGAATGGACATTAGATACTCACCTCTGAAGTTGAGCATATTTATTGACATTTTGCTTGTAACTGTTTTATTAGGAAGCCTACAGAATGGAAAGCTAAAATTTTACTAAGGAATTGCCAAAAAGTTATCCCTAACATAATCCCTCATTAAAAAAGCAGTGAAGCCAAAAATAAAACAAAGACTTCATCCAAATGCCCAGTTAGAAAACTGCCTTGTGATTCTAAATAAAGGAATTGTGCTATATATTAAAACTGCATGCAACAGGGATTAAATGTTAAACCTGTGTATCTGTTAAAATCATTAAGTTGCCAATTCACTGACAGAGTCACCATAAATAACTAAACAATAGTATGTGCCATAATTCTATCAAAAAATAACATCTTAGTTTTCTTTTTCCTCATGTATATCAACTTTCAAAATAGAAAACCCATCCACACACCATAAATTTTATATGAAGTAAATGTTTAGCAATGAGCATCAGGAAAATATTATGAAGTGCAAGACAAAGGGATCTTTATTAGCTTGAAAACCTTGACATAGAAATTCCAGCGTAAGCATATACAATCATTTTTCAGAACTGATCATTTTTCAAACTACCAACTTTCTTACCTAAAGAAGGCTCCCAAGTTACAGTTCACGGTGAATGAATGAAATGAAGTAACTGCTGCCATAGGGTACTCACCAATATCCTTTTGATTTCACTTCCTAGCTTGGCAAAACACCACAAAAACACATTCATCAGAATATATAAGTAAAAATTCAGCAATTTTTATGCTTAGGGCATGTATATATCATTGCATATGTTGAAAGTTTTTATCAGAAAATTACTGATTCCCAAACTATTTTCCACTCAGAAGAAAAGCTGTCCATTAAAGCAGAAAAACAAAAAACCACTAGCCTGATCAATAGAAATAGTGCAACACTCACCAGGAATTACACATGAAGCTCTACTCAAACAGAAGACTGTGGATCAAATAGTCAAATGAGGGCTTTAAAAATTCACATTTTAATACAAACATATAGGGAGTTACTATAAAACAATCAAGGTAGCCCATGATTACACTTGTTAATAGGCTATGTAAATCTTTCAGTTCCAGTTTTTAGAAGCACGTAACACCACTACTTTTCATACTGTTCATGGGGTTCTCAAGGTAAGAATACTGAAGTGGTTTGCCATTGTCTTCTCCAGTGGACCGCGTTTTGTCAGAACTCTCCACCAGGACCCGTCCGTCTTGGGTGGCCCTACACAGCATGGCTCATAGTTTCTTTGAATTAGATAAGGCTGTGGTCCATGTGATCAGATTGGTTAGTTTTCTGTGACTGTGGTTTTCATTCTGTCTGCCCTCTGAAGGAGAAGGAAAAGAGGCTTATAGAAGCTCGTGATGGCACAGACTGACTGAGGGGGAAACTGGGTCTTGTTCTGATGGGCAGGGCCATGCTCAGTAAATCCTTAATTCAATTTTCTGTTGATGGGGAGGGCTGTGTTCCCTCCCCGTTGTTTGACCTGAGGCCAAACTATGGAGAAGGTAATGAAGATGATGGCATCCTTCAAAATGCCCCACGCGTGTACTGCCGCACTCAGTGCCCCCAACCCTGCAGCAGGCCACCTCCGACCCACGCCTCCACCGGAGACTCCTGGACACTCTCGGGCAAGTCTGGCTCAGTCTCTTGCGGGGTCACTGCTCCTTTTTCCTGAGTCCTGGTGAACACAAGGTTTTGTTCGTGCCCTCCAACAAAGAGTCCGTTTCCCCAGTCTTGTGTAAGTTCTGGGGGCTCTATGGGGGGGTTAATGGCGACCTCTCCCAAGAGGCCTAATGCCACACCCAGGTCTACTGTACCCAGAGCCCCTGCCCCTGCAGCAGTCCACTGCTGACCCGTACCTCCGCAGGAGACACTCACACACAGTTCTGGCTCAGTCTCTACAGGGTATCTGGGTCCTGGTGCACACAAGGTTTGTTTCAGCCCTCCAAGAGTCTCTGGTGGGTATGGGGTTTGATTCTAAACATGATTTTGCCCCTCCTACCATCTTGCTGGGGTTTCTCCTTTGCCCTTGGACGTAGGGTATCTTTTTTGGGTGGGATCCAACATTCTCCTGTTGACGGTTATTCAGCAGCAAGTTGTAATTTTGGAGTTCTCGCAGGAGTAGATGAGCGCACATCCCTCTACTCCACCATCTTGGAGAAAATATTGGCTTAAAACTCAACAATCAGAAAACTAAGATCATGGCATCTGGTTCCGTCACTTCATGACAAATAGATAGGGAAACAGTGGAAACAGCGGCTGACTTTATTTTTCTGGGCTCAATAATCACTGCAGATGGTGACTGCAGCCATGAAATTAAAAGACGCTTACTCCTTGGAAGAAAACCTATGACCAACCTAGACAGCATATTAAAAAGCAGAGACATTACTTTGCCAACAAAGGTCTGTCTATTCAAAGCTATGGTTTTGCCAGTAGTCATGTACAGATGTGAGAGTTGGACTATAAAGAAAGCTGAGTTCCGAAGAATTGATGCTTTTGAACTGTGGTGTTGGAGAAGACTCTTGGGAGACCCCTAGACTGCAAGGAGATCAAACCAGTCAATCCTAAAGGAAATCAATCCTGAATATTCATTGGAAGGACTGATGCTGAAGCTGAAGCTCCAATATTTTGGCCATGTGACGTAAAGAACTGACTCATTAGAAAAGACCCTGATACTGGGAAAGACTGAAGGCAGGAGGAGAAGGGGAAAACAGAGGATAAGATGGTTGGATGGCATCACCGACTTGAAGGACATGAGTCTGAGCAAGCTCCGGGAGTTGGTGATGGACAGGGAAGCCTGGTGTGCTGTAGTCCACGGGGTCGCAAAGAGTTGGACATGACTGAGCAACTGAACTGAACACTTCTACAGTTACAATAATTAAATAAGCAGACAGAACTTTTATTATTTATCATTCCCATATGAAAGTAGTTTGACTAGTCTGCTGTTAACATAAGCATCTGTGGTTTTTAAATTTTTCACCTGTATTGACAGACATAATTGATTTGTTCACGATTGATTCATATTTTCTTTGAGGTTTGATCAATTTCTGTGACTTATCAGAGTTAGAAGCAGTCTATGGACACAGAAGAAAATAATAACAGGTCTACACCAGACATGGCAAATAGATGGGGAAGCAATGGAAACAATGACAGAACTTTTATTTTCTTGCGCTCCAAAATCACTGTGGACAGTGACTGCAGCCAAGAAATTAAAAGAAGCTTGCTCCTTGAAAGAAAAGCAATGACAAACTTAACAGCATATTAAAAAGCAGAGACATTACTTGGCTCTAAAAGGTCCATACAGTCAAAGCTATGGTTTTTCCAGTAGTCATGTATGGATGTGAGAGCTGGACAATAAAAAAGGCTGAGCGCTAAAGAATTGATGCCTTCAAACTGCGCTGTTGGAGAAGACTCTTAAGAGTCCCTTGGACAGCAAGGAGATCAAACCAGTCAGTCCTGAAGGAAATCAACCTTGAATATTCACTGGAAGGACTGATGCTGAAGCTGAAGTTCCAACCCTTTGGTCACCTGATACGAAAAGCCAACTCCCTGGAAAAGACCCTGATGCTGGGAAAGATTAAAGACAGGAAGAGAAAGGGACAGCAGAGGATGAGACGGTTGGATGGCATAACTGACTCAATGGACATGAGTTTGAGCAAACTCTGGCAGACAGGGAAGGACAGAGAAGCCTGGGGTGCTGCAGTCCATGGGGTCGTAAGAGTCAGACACAACTGAGTGACTGAACAACAACAACAATACCAGGATAAAACTCATTGTCTGGGCATCACGGATAAGTGTCATAAAGTAAAAATAAATAAATGCACTCAGCTACTTTTTGCAAGCCTAACTCAGTTACACATATCGGGTGGGGGAGACAACTTCTTAATAATCCACTAAAAACTTCTCTTCTATCTCTAATGCCCACCATCAGCCAGTCTCTTCTCTCTGAACCCTACTCCTAAAACAGAGCTCTGGAGGACAGACGGAGAATGAATTAGAGCTCAACATCCCCAATGTGATTTCCAGACTGCCCAGTGTTGCTCTATCATACAAACCCTATCTTCCAGATAATGGCAAGGTCAGCTCTCTCTCCTTTACATTCTACTCCAGGAGGAAGCAGATGGCAGCCACCAGGGACACTTGACAAAGGGAGAGAGAGCTAAGTCAAGTGATTTACACTTTCCTAACCAAATGACACACAGTTTTATTTACCACAGAAACTTTTCTACTGAGTTATCAATATGGCTAATTCTGTGTATGCAGGCCATGCTTTATGCTAGAAAACACTGAAGAAATCTGAAAAGGGTATATAAATAGGGAATCTCTACCTAAGACCCAGAAGTAGGCGTTGTGAAGGTACCTAACTCAAATCAGCTCACTGGAGTTTTTAAGATCAGATGAATTACTTTCCTGGTGGCTAAAGGAACTTGACTGCTGTTTTAAGAGTCACCAAATAGTGAGGATTGGTGGAAGACAAAACCAGAATTTAGGACCCCAGCAGGTGGTAAGCCACAATTTGAAACATGCAGAAATGAGAAAAATGGACAGTGATCACAAGCACGAAATGGTTTTATCAGCACTTGGGGGAAAAAAATGTAACAATGATTCAAAGTCCACTTGGGGGCTTCACTAACCACCCTAACCCAGTTTCCCTTTTTAAAATATGCTTATTAATTTGGCAGATAGGTGACCCTGTGAATCAGAGCCTCTAGGAACTCTCCCACAGTATTCTTGAGGGAAAGATAATCAAAGACAGGTTACTAAACATCCAAAGCCCGCCTGGAAGAAGTAATGAAAGCAACTATCTTCTGCACCATCACCAGGTTCTTCCAGATTGATGAAATGAATACACAGAACACACTTCTAAAAGCTTCAAGTGTTTAAGAGTCACCACAGTAGAAATACTGTGTAAATACTACAGATAAAGACTAAAGATTTAAAACTACCTAAAAAATGAGACAAATTTGATGGAAGCAACAAGGTGAAAATGAACAAAAATAATGAGCAAATGTCCTTAAAACGACGTTTCTAAAATGGCACACGGAGAAATCAGATTGCTCCCCCCACACGCAGGCGACCTCTGTTAGGAGGTCTGAAATCCTAGTAATCAACAGTGCAATGGCCAGAGAGGTGTGGCCTGGACAGGGGAGCAGAAGATTCATTTCAAAATATAGTTTTGAAACTTGACTGCTTGACAGACCACTAATAAAAGAGTAAATTGTGCCAAAGGGCAAACTCTTCCCACTGAACATATCCCGGAGGACAAAACGTAACTTTTTACAAATGTTGTCAAAAATATTTATGTTCTTTACTACCCACATGACCTCTGAGTTCCATTCTAAATCTAAAACCTACAAGTTCTTAAAACATGAAAGTCAAACTACAGACAGTATCATCAAAGTTCCAACAGGACATAAATAATTGGTATGTATTTATGTCAAACAAATCTTTATTAAAGCAGTGATTGCCAACTTTCTACTGTTGTGACTCTTAAAAATTTGAACTGGGCAGTGTTAAAGCCTTGAAACTGGGGTGGGGGAGGGTCTCAGCTTTTCCCCTCTCTTAACCCTCCCCACCTTTCCTCCCAACTCCAAAGAGAAAAGGGAATGAAGACTGCAAGCCAGGCTCTCTACAGGGAAGGCTTCTGAAATGGGGAGAGTCTCTTCTCAGTGCTGGTTACACCCAGGGATCTTAATTAACACAAAGAGTTCAAGAAGGCATTTTGCAACATTTTTCTGAGCAAATAATCAGTTTTTCCACTTCGTATTTTGGGGGAAATTTCTGGGCACAGATAACTAAAGACAAAACCAGTAACACCTAAAAGGGTAGAGATTATTCCAAATCACAGGGAAAGCTTGTGTCTACTTTTCTCCAGGACATGCCTTTGTAAATATAAATTCTTAACAAGCTCCTCCTGTAAGGGAAAACACTTCAAGTCGTCGTGCAAAAGCGAACGCGTAATCAGTAATCATACAGATAATGAAAACATCAACTAATACGCGTTTAAGAGAGATTAAAACGAATATAATCCGTTCAGAGCTTACCCTCCAAAGATGAACAAAATGACTAACTTCAGGAAACCCGGGTCCCGGGCTGAGCTCTGCAGAAAAACCACCGTGGGAAGAAACGAACAACCTAAAGCTGTAAAGCCTCAGACAGAAGACCCCACCTCAAGGAAAGGCAAATGCGGGGGTGGGGGTTGGCCACGGCAATCTGGCCTGGGGGCGGGGGGAGTCTCTAGCCGGGGGTGCCCCCTCCCGCTCCTCGTCTCGGGGAGCCCAGTGCCCGGGCTGAGGACGCCAGCTCGCGCCTCCTCGTTCCCGGAGAAAGAGCGCTGGCCGGGTCCCCAAACCACAACCCGCCCCAGGCAGGACCCGCGCTCCTGCCCGCGGCTTCCTCAAAGCTAGCGGAGGCGCAGCCCCCCGAAGACCTCCGCGCTCCCCAGAAGGAAAGGATACCAGGAGACATACAACCGCGTGTCCTTCCGCGCGCCCGGGCCTTCGCCGGCCGGGCTGCGGCGGCGGGATAGGTCCGCCTCGTCCGAGATCTGGGCGGCTGCCCTGGAACCGGATGCGCTGGGCCAGGGGCGAAGACCCCAGAGCCCGCGGGCGTCCCCCAGGCACTCCCCCGGCCCCGGCCCCGCCCCCGGGCGGCAACGCATGCGCGCAGCTCCAAATGTCTCAGGGGACCTGGGCGTGCCGGCTCCCACCTGCTCAGGGGCATCTCTTTAAGTGGTGACTGGACGGTTTTTCTGCCTGCTGGCCTTCAGCTAAATTGACGGGACACCTGCGCGGTGAAACCTTAACGACCAGCCCATCCGAATGGGAGTGAATTCACAGTTCCAGCTTCTAGAACGTAACTTCCCTGGAAAGTGCACCCTTTATTAATACACAGATACATGAAACTTAAAGTACTGAAAGTGTTAACAGTTCAGTGTTAAATATGTGTATATCAACTCCCTATCCTGTGCCACATCTCACTCCCTGGGGATAACCACTGTTTTTGTGTAAATTACTAGACCTTCCGTACATACACAGAAGTATCCAGCAAGAAGCAAGGATTTTATTACTCTCATTAGTTACGTTTGAAAAAAAACTCTGGGATCAAATTATATGTAATGTTCTGGAACTTCTTTTGCTTACTACACCACGGACATATTTCTCTATAAACTTCTCTATCAACACAGATCCCCCTCATACTTTTTTTTTTTGCAAACTCTATTAAGGTATAATTGACAAAATAAACTGCACATACTTAAAACATACAATTCGATAAGTCTGAACATACACATTTCTTCCAAAAGTCTCCTTATGACTGTCTATAATCCCTCCTCCAACACTTTCCCCATCTGTTTTCTGACACTACAGGTTAGGTCACATTTTCTAGAATTTTACATAAATTGAAGCATAGAGTATGTACTCTTTTTATCTGGTTATTTGCACTCAGCATACTTATTTTGAGTATCATAGTGTTAGTCGCTCAGTAGTGTCTGACTCTTTGCTGCCCCATGGACTGTAGCCCATCAGTCTCCTCTGTCCGTGCAATTCTCCAGGCAAGACTACTGGAGTGGGTAACCATTCCTTTCCCTAGGGGATCTTCCCTGACCAGGGACTGAACCCAGGTCTTCTGTATTACAGGTGGATTCTTCACCATCTGAACCACCAGGGAAACCACCAGGGAAATATCATAGCTCATTTGTTTTTATTATAAGTAGTATTCAATTTTACAGATATAACACAGTTTATATATACATTCACCTGAAGATGGACATTTGGCTATTACAAATAAAGCTGCTATGAACATTACTGTACACATCTTTGGACATATGTTTCATTTCTCTTGGGTGAACACCCAGTATGGAAGAGCTGCACTGTATAATAGATGACACCACTCTTATGGCAGAAAGCCAAGAGGAACTGAAGAGCCTCTTGATGAAAATGAAAGAGGAGAGTGAAAAAGCTGCCTTAAAACTCAACATTCAAAAAACTAAGATCATGGCATCCGGTCCCATCACTTCATGGCAAACAGATGGGGAAACAATGGAAACAGTAACAAACTTTATTTTCTTGGGCTCCAAAATCACTGCAGATGGTGACTGCAGCCATGAAATTAAAAGACGCTTGCTCCTTGGGAGAAAAGTTATGACCAACCCAGATAGCATATTAAAAAGCAGAGACATTACTTTGCCAACAAAGGTCCGTCTGGTCAAGGCTATGGTTTTTCCAGTGGTCATGTATGGATGTGAGAGTTGGACTGTGAAGAAAGCTGAGTGCTGAAAAATTGATGCTTTTGAACTATGGTGTTGGAGAAGACTCTCTTGAGAGTCCCTAGGACTGCAAGGAGATCCAACCAGTCCATCCTAAAGGAGATCAGTCCTGGGTATTCATTGGAAGGACTGATGCTGAAGCTGAAACTCCAGTATTTTGGCCACCTCATGCGAAGAGTTGACTCATTGGAAAAGACCTTGATGCTGGGAGGGATTGGGGGCAGGAGGAGAAGGGGACGACAGAGGATGAGATGTCTGGATGGCATCACCAACTCGATGGACATGAGTTTGAGTAAACTCCAGGAGTTGGTGATGGACAGGGAGGGCTGGCATTCTGCAACTCATGGGGTCTCAAAGAGTCGGACGCAACTGAGCGACTGAACTGAATTGAACTGAGAGGGCTATAGTTCATGGCATGGCAAAGAGTTGGATATGACTGAGCAACTGAGCATGCACAAATCCTTAGCCTTCTAATCTTTTGACTTCGTACATGATACAGTGGTAAAGAATCCAACTGCCAGTGCAGAAGATGCAAGAGATGCAAGAGACGTGAATTTGATCCCTGGGTCAGGAAGATCCCCTGGAGGAGTAAATGGCAACCCACTCCAATATTCTTTCCTGGAAGACTCCACAGGCAGAGGAGCCTAGCATCTACAGTCCATGGGGGTCACAGAGAATCAGACATGACTGAGTGAGCAACACACACTCTAGGTATTTATAGTTTTTACAATGCTGCTGTAAACAGTATTTCTTTTTATGCTTTAATTCCTAATCATTTGATGCAAATATAAAGAAATATAATTGACTTTTGTACATTGATCTTGTATCTTGCTGTGCTGTGCTTTGTCACTCAGTCATGGCAGACTCATTGTGACCCCATGGACTGTAGCCCACCAGGCTCCTCTGTCCATGGAATTCTCCAGGCAAGAATGCTGGAGTGGGTAGACATTCCCTTCTCCAGGGGATCTTCCCAACCCAGGGATCGTACCCAGGTCTCCTGCAATGGAGGCAGATTCTTTACTGTCTGAGCCACCAGGAAGCAAACTTGCTCAAATCACTTTTAGTTCTAGAAACCTCCATTGGCATCTAGTACGTTCCACTGGATGTTCTACATAGACAATCATGTCATAAAGGCAGTTATTGTTTGTCCCAATTGAATGCTAAACCAATATAATTATGCTCCAAAGATCTATTATGCCTTTCTTTTAAGAATTTGGTGTTTAAGTCCAGGTTTGATGCATGAGACAGGGTGCTCAGGTCCAGAGCACTGGGATGACCCTGCGGGATGAGATGAGGACAGAGGTGGGAGGGGGGTTCAGGATGGGGAACACATGTACACCCATGGCTGATTGATGTCAACGTATGGCGAAAACCACTACAATATTAGAATTAGCCTCCAATTAAAATAAATTAATTAATTAAAAAAAGAATTTGGTGTTTAATATTTAAAAAGATATATAATCTATATTCTAAATAAGTTAAGACTTTTTGCTTTTGCTTCATATTCCTTTAAATTAAGCTTTCCCCAAAGGAAATTAGTAAATGTGAAATTAGTAAAGTAAAAATTAAGGGTTTTCATTTAAAATCAGAAATGCCAGCTAGTGTGTCTCTAAATGTGGAAGAACTTGCTTCTGTTTTCAGACATAGTATGAAGCTCCTGATAAGAGAGGGAATTATGAAATGAGCATTTCTAAGTGGGTCAGGGCTAGTCATCCTTGACAATACTGATTCAAAGCCACTATCCTGTTTTGAAAAGTGAATAAAATCAAGGGGATTGTGTGGAGCTCAAGATCCATAAACACTGTGTTCTGTCTTGTATAAGGTAGCCTTGTTTTGTACCATCTTGTGGATCTGAACTTATCATTTCTTAAAACAGAGAAGAAAAATAATTTTGGACATTTTCCTTTTCACTAATGCTTTTCTAAGTCAAGTTTTTATAGTGCAAAGTCTTTAAAATAAAATGTAACATTGACCTATGTGTTCCAACTGGTTTGAAAAGCTGTAACATAAATTACCTGGTTTTAAAAGCTGTAACATAAATTTATAATTTTTAAAGATAATTTTCAGTAACATTTAATTGTGTGTTCCAACTGATTTTAAAAACTGTAACATAGATTAGCTAGTTTTAAAAGCTGTAACATAAATTTGTAAATGATTCTGCAAATACACTTTATTTTAAAAGGACAGTGATTTATTGCTATGTTTAACTAAACATTTCATAGAAATAGTTAATTTAGAGATAATTTTCTGTAGTCATCTATGAAAGGCAAAATGTGTATTATTAATTTGACTGTCCACACAAATCTGGGATTATAGAGAGAAACAAGGTCAGTCATTTCAAATCATGTGATAAAAGGAGGTTAGTAGGTCATGTTTTATAGCTGTCCTGGTGATCAGACATCTCTAAAGGCATTTCAAAAAGTAGTCATTAGCAAGAATGAAAATTTCTTAGCTTTTTAATTAGAGGAAAAATTTAATACTAAAATATTTTCCTTATAAAGAACAGCAAATGCTTTCAATGTGTTAAAATTTCCTCTTTATTATGTTTTCCTATGACAATTTAAAATCTTTGAAAAATGACAAGTCTTAAGATTGGAAATTAAATACACAATAGTTTAATTTGATGTACTGACTTTATAAATAAATGCTCCAAAGTAGGTTTTGTTTTTAATAATTACTATTCATTATCATAAAGGATACACTGTATTGCCAGTTGATTACATTACAGCTGTCAGAGGAAATGGAAAAGATACTACAATATTTTAGGGAAATCATAGTTTAAATATCACAAGATAGCAGTAGACTGGCAGCAAACACACCAATAAGTAAGCAAACAGAAGCAGGGTAGCTCTTTGTTACAAGGTATTAAGGAGACCCTGTAAACACAGGCTCAGAGACATCAAGAGTTTGCCAGTCAACAGCAACAGCAACCAGTCTAGCACAGAGAACAGAGCAAGAACAAACCGAGGTGGACCTCTCTGGTGGGCCAGTGGTTAAGAATCTGCCTGCCAATGCTGGGGACACAGGTTCGCTGCCTGGTCTCGGAAGATTCCACATGATGTGGGGCAACTGAACATGTGTGCCCCAACAACTGCACCTAGAGCCCGTGTTTGGCACCAAAGAAGCCACAAGAATAAAAAATCCACACACCACAACAAAGAGTATCCCCACTCGCCACAGCAGGAGAAAGCCTGCACGCAGCAACAAAGACCCAGCATAGCCATAAATAAATGAATAAGTAAAATTCAAAGAAATAACTGAGCCACACAGTCACCTGTGCAACACAGGCCAGTGTCGCAACCATAATGTCCACTACTGCTCACATCACTGCCGATCAATCACACACCTACCACCATGTCTCCTAGATGGTGGTGTTAATGAAAGTATTAAATTCAAACCAAGCACAGCATGTCTGGCTTTTACATTTCCTTGTGTGAACTCCC